CAGGGGGCAGCACCCCAACCGCCTGATTGGCCCTGCTCTGTGCATGACAGGGGGTGGCTCCGCAACCTCCCCATCGACCCTGCCTTGAGTGTGACAGAGGGTGGTGCCCCAACCCCCCAATTGGCCCTACCCTGAGCGTGACTGAGGCTGGCATCGCAACCTCCCAATCTGCCCTGCTCTGTGCATGACAGGGGGCGGTGCCCCACCTCCCCAATCGTCCCTTCTCTGAGCCCGACCAGGTGCTGCACCTAGGGATTGTGCCTGCCCTCTGCCACCCGGGAGCAGGCCTAAGCCAGCAGAGTGTTATCTCCCGAGGGGTCCCAGGCTGCGAGAGGGCACAGGCCAGACTGAGGGACCCCCCTTCCCCCTCCCCTAGTGCACAAATTTTTATGCACCAGGCCTCTAGTCTATAATAATAAAAGCGTAATATGCTAATTAAACCTGATGGCCAAACAGCAGATGACCTTCCGGATGACCTTTCAGATGACCTTCTGGACGAAGCCCAAGCTGTGAGAGCCGAGGTAGCCACCGCGGCTGCGAGGGCCGAGCCCCTTGCATGAATTTTGTGCATCGTGCCTCTAGTAATAAATGTTTAGTTTGCTCAGGCTGCCATAACAAAGTACCACAGACTGGGTGGCTTACACAACAGAAATGTAGTTTCTCACAGTTCTGCAAACTAGAAGTTTGAGATCAAGGTGTCAGCAAGGTTGGTTTCCTCTGAGCCTCTCCCCTGGTCTTGTAAATGGCCATCTTCTTTCTGTTTCCCCATGGTCTTCTCTCTGCATATATCTGTGTCGTTATGCAGACACTGGTCCTATTAGATGAAGGCCCATTCTAATGACATTATTTTAACTTAATTACCTCTTTAAAAACTCTATTTCCAATTACAGAGACATTCTGAGGTGCTTGGGGTCAGGACTTCAGCATAAGAATGTTGGGTAACACAATCTGGCCCATAGCAATAATCACCCTAGAGAACCAAGATAGTGGCATAGGTAAACACAGGTACTCGCAGCCTCCCATAACCACATCAAAATTACAACTAAAATACAGAACAACATCATTCAGAGCTGCCTGAAACCTGGCTGAATAGTAGTTCTACAACCAAAAAATTAAAGAAGAAAGCACATCTAGATTGATAGGAGGGGTGGAGGTGAGGAACAGGCCGGTCCAACACCCATGTGTGACTATTTTAATTGGGAGGAATATCTTGGCTGAGGAAGCCTTCCTTGAGGAGCAAGGGATCCAAGCCTCACACCTTGCCCCAGCCCAGGGTTCCAGAGCTGGGAAGAGAAGTTCCCATAACTTGGGCTGTAAAAACAAGCTGGGATTGTGGCTGATTAACAAGGAGGCTGTGGCAATCACAGATTTTCCTTTAAAAGGGCCAGGAACATGGACTTACCCTTATTCACTCCATCTGAGCTCCAGCTCTGGGGCAGCAGCTTGAACGGATTCTATTGAGGAATCTATTGTTTCCTTTTTTAAAAAAAACTACAGTCTACCTTCAACATTATTCCACGTTTGTTCGAGGTGTACAGCACAGTGGCCAGACAATCACAAACCTCACAAAGTGTTTCCCCCCAACACTGCCAGTCCCCACCTGGCACCATACACAGTCATCACAGCATTACTGACTATATCTCCTGTGCTGTACTGTATATCCCTATAACTGCTTTGTAACTACCAATTTGTAATTCTTAATCCCTTTACTTCTTTCATCCAGTTCCCCAATCCTCCTGCCCTCTGGGGTTCACCAGTCTGCTCTCTGTGTCTAAGATCAAGATACTCTTAAGTAGGGTATGAAGTTTTAGTTATGCAAGATGAACAAGATCTAGAGATGTAATGTACAGTGTGGTGATGATAAGTTAACAATATTCCATTAAATACTTGAAATTTTTTAAAAGGATAGATCTTAAATCTTCTTAACACATACACACTCTCTCACACACACACACATAACACACACACACACACACACACACACACACACTCTACTAACTATCTAGAGATGATGGATAAGTTATTTAGCTTGATTGTGATGATACATATAATATCAAGTTATAGTCCTTAAATATATTCAATTTTTATTTGTCAAAGATATCTCAATATAGTTGCCAATAAAATGTTACCATCTATGCCAGGCCAGTGTAGCTCAGCAGTTGAGCATTGACCCAGGAACCAAGAGGTCATGGGTTTGATTCCTGGTCAGAGCACATGCCCAGGTTGTAGACTCAATCCCCAGTAGGGGGTGTGCAAGAGACAGCTGATCAATGATGTTTCTCTCTCATCAATGTTTCTATCTCTATCCCTCTCCCTCTCTCCCTAAAAATCAATAAAAACTTTTTTTAAATGTTACCATCTACAAGAAAAAAAATTTAGTATCCTGATGTGTACTTACAAATTATTTTCTAACTAGAGGCCCGGTGCACAAAATTCATGCACTTGGGGGAGGTCCCTCAGCCAGGCCTGCACCCTCTCTGTCTGGGAACCCTCAGGGGATATCCTTAGCGCTGCCATGGAGATGGGAGAGGGTCCCTCCACTGCTGCTGTGCTCTCCAGCTGTGAGCCCGGCTCAGGGCTTCTGGCTGAGCCTCACTCCCCCTGTGGGAGCACACTGACCAACAGGGGGCAACTCCTGCGCTGAGTGTCTGCCTCCTGGTGGTCAGTGTGCATCATGTGACCGGTCATTCTGCCATTTGGTCAATTTGCATATTACCATTTTATTATATAGGATAATGAATTGCCTATTTTGCCTCCCCTTCTACTATACTGGGTATTCTCATTAAATAAAAAGTTATTATGGACTTAAAATAGAATATTTTATCATTTTTATAAACATAAAAACCTGTTTATAACTGAGGAGAATAATTACTGCACTACATATTTATTAACTTGTTGTATTTTCCTCCTTACGTCCTTTGCATGTATATTTAGATGTATGTTATGTAGGAAGGCAGCAGTACTAGGAGTGGATGTATCTCTTCCTGCTTTTCTTATAATTTTTATTAAGCACTGGATGCATCAAAAATATTTACTTCTGTAATTTTCTGCTTTAAGAATTTAAGACCCAATTAGATGCAAAAACTGGGATAGGTATAAAAAAGGGACACAGAGATGCAAACTGACAGGTTGAGTCACCCAGGAACTCATTCTGTATACTTCATGACATTTGTGGTTCTCTTCATCTCTAACCATGCTAACTTTCTAATTTCCTCCCCATTGTTACATGATTATACAGCAATTAAATACTAGCTTAAATTCTTACAGAAAAATCAGCAGCATTATCTGTTTTATAAATTTGCCCTTGTGGATAAGTGATACAAAGATGACAGCTTTGTTAGTTTGAAGTTCTTGTACTACAGTACAAGAACCTAATTTAGTAAAATATTATGTTTCACTAAAAAACCCCCACAAAGGGCTAGAAAGGCTGTCCAGGTCTAGTTCAACCCTGCTTCTCATGTGACTATGGATCAATCATTCAGATTACATTTCTCATATATCAAAGCACACAAGATGATTTCTAATGATTACAATTCTAGTTTTAATGAAAATAATCCTGGTCAAATTAGAATGTCAAATAAAATCTTTTATTCATTTTTTTTAAATTTTTTGTGTGGAATATGTTTATGTACAGACATAATTAAGACCCATTTTAATTCTCACCAATTTCTTAGGTTATTAAATGCAAAGCAGCCGTGTTATGGGAGCCAAATAAACCTTTTTCCATTGAGGAAATAGAAGTTGCCCCACCAAAGGCTAAAGAAGTTCGTATCAAGGTAAGGAGCCTTAGAATACATAAGCCTAAAATGCTACCCCAACTGTCTTGAGTATATCATTATTTGAAGTTGGATTCTTGAATAAAGAGGTGTTTCTCAAATTTTATACATTATTCTTCTTAGTGGTTCTTGTTTATTGTTAAAGGTCTTGTCATGCTGGTTATGAAATTAATGGCAATTATTCATTAAAAACACTACTAATCTGCTCTATTAAAACTTTTACTTGTTGAATTTTTATTGACATGATTCTGATTTTTAAAAATGGTTAGTAATTACAACTAATGATTTCTTTTAAAATTTTTTGGAAGTCAGATAGTATTGAGATTACTTTTCCCAAAGAATGAGAAATTCACTTGTGTCTGGAGAAACAATAGCTTCCTGGAGTGTTCCCTGTTCCTTTGTTCACAGCCGAAGCATTGGTTTGGACACCAGGTTGAGTAGATGTTGCTGCCAGTCATTCTTTGATCTTCTGTTACTTATACACTCTAGTAAGATTTTGCTCCTCACTTACCTTCATGCATGCCATTCCCATCACCCTTCATTAATAGGTCCTAAGAGGGCCTGGCTATAAGAATCTACTTTTGTACTGGTCACATGGTAACATCTGCAAATCTCACAATTTGCTATAGAGCACCAATTTGCTATAGACAGACATTGAGATTCAAAGTAGGGTCAGAGGCAGCAATATTGTAAATCAATCCCTTGATGAGCGGGATCATGTCCGATGGTTGGTATTAAGCTCAGAATCTTCTATGAGTCAACACTATTATATTTGGCACTCAAACTGAATAAACAATTATAATCTTTTCAAGATTGAGGTAGATGTCCTCCCAGCGTGAAGTGACCAGTGTGCTGATTGGTGCAATGTTCTTGTCTTTGAGCACAGATTTTAGCCACAGGAATCTGTCGCACAGATGACCATGTGATTAAAGGACTAATGGTGTCCAGGTTTCCAGTGATTGTGGGACATGAAGCAACTGGCCTTGTGGAGAGCATTGGAGAAGGAGTCACTACAGTGAAACCAGGTGTGCAGATAACACATCACAAGTTTGAGATAAGTAGGGTCTGATTATTCTAGCAAAGAAAACAGCACAACTAGGGATTAGCAGAGACAGCCTTGACATAATTTAGGAGAATAAAAGGATACAGGGAGAATTGGATGACACTGAGTGAAATTTAATTTGGCAGTCTCGACCTTTAGCAAGCAAACCTTCTGCTGCTTATACATTTTAGAATACTTTTAAGAAATTCTTGTATGTGGCATGGGCCCAATTCACAATTGTTTATTTCATATTTTAATGTTAATAACCAACATCTTATATCATGGTGATTTCCCTCTAGGTGACAAAGTCATCCCCCTCTTTATGCCTCAATGTAGAGAATGCAATGCTTGCCGCAACCCAGATGGAAACCTTTGCATTAAGAGCGAGTAGGTTTTGGACATTTTTACTCTTATGCCATTTAAATTGTTCCAGTGCTAAATTTTGCATTGAATTAACTGACTTGTGTATTTGATCTGTCAAATAGCATTACAGGTCGTGGAGTACTAGATGATGGCACTACCAGATTTTCATGCAAGGGCAAACCGGTCTACCACTTCATGAACACCAGTACGTTTACTGAGTACACAGTGGTGGATGAATTCTCTGTTGCTAAGATTGATGACGCAGCTCCTCCTGAGAAAGTCTGTTTAATTGGATGTGGGTTTTCCACGGGATATGGGGCTGCGATAAAAACTGGCAAGGTAAGAAGCAGGATGGGTTAGTTTCTTCCTTTTTGCTTTTTTAATGATTTTCTTGGAATCCTAAAGGCTTTTGAAAACATATTATATGCAGGCTGTTTCTACACAATGCCAATCAACTGGAGGAAAAGTGAAAAATTCAGATTAGACCTTTTACTTCTAAACAAGTGAAAATAAAATATCTAGATTTAATTGTGTTTCCTCGACATTTCCTTCAGGTTTATTTCTAAATTTTAAAATTCAGATTCAGAAACACATCTTTTTTCTTTCACAAAATAGGTACCAATGCTGGTTTGTTAGTGTGCTAGGGCTGTCATAGCAAAGTACCACCGACTGGCTGTCCTAAGCCAAAATTTATTGTCTCACATTCTGGAGACTAGAACCAAGGTGCTGGCAGGACTGGTTTTCTCTGAGGCCTGTGAGTGGAGGGTCTGTTCTAGGCAGCTCTCCTTGGCTCTTTTCACTGTGTCTCTTCCCATCGCCTTTCAGCTATAACAGTCTCTGTGTCCAAATTTCCCCTTTTCAGAAGGATACAAGCCATATTCGGTTAGGGCCTGCCCTAATGAGCTTGCTTTCACTTGGTTACCTCTGCAAAGATCCTCTCTTCAAATAAGATCACATTCTGAGGAACTGGGATTAAGACTTCAACATATGAATTTGGAGGGAACACAATTCAATCCATAATAGCTGGTATATAAGATGAAAACATGAATGAGATGTGTGTGTTTTTTTCCTAGAACAACAACAAAATAAAATTCTGGCTTATTGTCTTTTTTTGGCATATGAATGATTTTTTAAGAATGTTTATTTGGACTACATTTATTTTACTCTTAATGGGTGCAAGAAGTAAGTAGAATAACATGTAATAATTTGTAATAGGACAGCCATTCCACAAACAATAATGTGGTATGCTATCAACTCCAAAGTCTTTAAAAAACTATATATGTTACTTAAGTCCAAATCTATAACTAAACTCTCTCCAAATTCTTTTTTCTAACTCCCTACTGGACATCTCCATTTGGATGTTTCACAGGTATTTCCAACTGAATAGGTATACAATGGAATCCTTAATTTTCTTACTTCCTGCCCCTCAAACGTATTTGCCCACTCCAATTTTCTTCATTCTTTATCTTCTCTCTCCACCACCTTAGATGAAACCCAACAGCAAGTCCTGTTAACTTTACATACAAGGTATATTTTAAATATCTCCATTTTCTTCAATGGACTATCATCATTATTTTTTTATTATTTTTTTTTTAGAGAGAGGAAGGGAGAGGGATAGCAAGTTAGAAACATCGATGAGAGAGAAACATCGATCAGCTGCCTCCTGCACACTCCCTACTGGGTATGTGCCCGAAACCAAGGTACATGCCCTTGACCGGAATCGAACCCGGGACCCTTCAGTCTGCAGGCCAATGCTCTATCCACTGAGCCAAACCGATTAGGGCTATCATCATTATTTTTGACTGGACAGATGCAATGGTCTCCCTTTTGTTGTCTTCATTACTCTTCTTGACCATCTCAAATAAATCTCCATTGATAAGCCAGAGTAATTTCATAAAACATACATTGGAACACATTATTTTTGCCACAAAATCCTTCAGTAATTTTCATACTTGGAACAATCTCATCTTACCCACTGTGAGCCAGCCACACCTCTTAGCATCCTGACGCCTGCTGAGCTGTTCCTGCATGGAGGCATTTACACATGCTATTCTGATTGTCTGGAACATTCATCTCCCAAATCCTCCTGTAGTTGGTTCCTATCACTCTTGCTCAGAGAACTTCTTGTTTTTCTGTCTACTCCAACGAAGAAAAACTTCTTCCATTATTCAAGGGAACATGGCTGCTTCATTAATAGTGCGTGTCCCAAATCTCAAAGTCTCATATCGTTAGTGGTACTTATTAGATGATAAGCTCCAGGAAGGTATGGAATGAGTCTCCTTTATGCACTATAGTACTTCCTTATTTAATGTCTAGTGAGCGTTAGACCATGGTGGCTATGAAGGGTGATATTTTTAATCACTAAGGAGCTGTATCTCTAAGTAATTCTCCCTAGGACCCAGGCACCTATCTGTAGAGTGATAGTTTCTTGAACCTCCTCTCATCTGCCTCTGATTCTTTAACTTGATCAGAGCCTTCATTTCTGCTTACTTCAGATTGTTCCTCTACCCAGAACAACAACACATAGATCATCTATTGAAACAAGGAGGCTTGGTGCCCTAGCAGGTTTGGCTCAGTGGATAGAGCATCAGCCTGCTGACTGAAGGATACCGGGGTTGATTCTGCTCAAGGGTATATGCCCTGGTTGTGGGCTTGATCCTTAGTAGGGGTTGTGCAGGAGGCAGCTGATCAATGATTCTCTTTCATCATTGATGTTTCTATCTCTCTCTCCTTCTCCTGTCCTCTCTGAAATTAATAAAATATACTTAATAAAAAGAAACATGGAGGTTTGACTTTGATAAAAAAAAAACAATTTATTTTAAAATGACTCAGAGTTATGGTTATTAAGTAAATGCTAGTCAGACCAAAATTTTAAACCGATTTAGCATAGCTTTGTGGAGAAGAGATAATGGAGACCTTAGAGCAGTGGTTCCCAACCTTTCTAATGCCACGACCCTTTAACCCCTTCCCCGGCAGAAACGTGTATACACGTTTTCACAAAATGTTCTTTTTTCAGTCGTCGACGAGTATACTCGTCTAAAAACTTTACCTTCAAAAACCAGCTACATACGTACCATTCTAAATAATTTCATCTAGAAACTTTCTGAGGAAATACTATTCTTAACCACAAAAATGGGTTGTGGTGACACCCAATTTCATTGTTACAAATTGAAAATAATTAAACCATAGTGATTAATCACAAAAACAATATGTAATTATATATGTGTTTTCCGATGGTCTTAGGTGACCCCTGTGAAAGGGTCGTTCAACCCCCAAAGGGTCGCGACCCACAAGTTGAGAATCACTGCCTTAGAATTTATGTAATCCTGTTATGAGATTAGATGAGTTTAAAAACTCCCATAACAGAGGTCTTTTATATAATGTACCCTTTTATAAAGGATTTTTACTTACTTGGCAAATATTGTTTTTGTTCCTTTTCTGTTTTCAGACCCTCTGTTTCTAGTCCTCTTTGTGGCATTACCAACAGAATAAGTAATCCAATCCTAACAGCCTCTGAATTTTGTGTTTCTAATATTGCAAATACTTTACAGATTTAACTTCTTTTATCCCACCTTTAACGCTTGCATGAACTTTTCTCTCCACAGGTCACCGCTGGTTCCACCTGTGCTGTCTTTGGCCTGGGAGGAGTTGGCCTTTCAGTCATCATGGGCTGTAAGTCGGCTGGTGCATCCAGGATCATTGGAATTGACCTCAACAAAGACAAATTTGAGAAGGCAAAGGCTGTAGGAGCCACTGACTGCATCAGCCCCAAGGACTCTACTAAGCCTATCAGTGAGGTGCTGTCAGAAATGACAGGCAACACTGTAGGTTACAGTTTTGAAGTTATTGGGCGTCTTGACACGATGGTAAGAGCCAAGATTAGGGGAACCACATAATATGTAAGCTATTTGATCATAAAAGGTAAAAGTCATTTTCTATGACTTTATTAACAAACAACTATTGAAATACTTATTAGGCAAAAGCTGGTGATGTGAAACAACCTTGCTTAAAAGTCAAAAGCTTATGAGCAGGTCTGCGTGACTAAAGTTAAGTATCACACCACATCCCTCTCAGGTAACCGGAGTGCAAGGTAGTCAAGCATCTAAACAAATTTCTGTCTTCTCTTCCTTGTTTGCATATGTAAATTTATTGGCAAAGGCAAGCCCATTGCTTATACTTTAGCAAGCCAAATAGCACAAAGTGACTCCCTGAGGAGAGATGAGGAGATCCAGGGAGGAAATGGACTTTTCCAAATTTGGCAATCTCTTCCTCCAAATCCAGGATGTATCCAACTCTCACTCTTTACACCTGAGATTAGTTTTCTCCGATCTAAATTTTCTTAAAATAGGAGCCTTCAACTTTCTCAAACATGGTTCCATTGTGGCAGCCCGCAGCACCAGCTGTCCATGTAGAAACAGGTGCCAAGCTCCTGGCTAACAAAGCCCCAGCTTGGGCAGGCTGAGGAGATTCAGAAATGTAAGACAAAGCCAATCTTGCTCATGATTGAGTAGTACATTTAATTCACTTTAATATTTTGGTATTTATGAATAACTAGTGTTTAATTTACCATTGTTATCACATTCTTTTCCTAGGGCACTTAGAATTATCCCACAGTAACAAATATCATTTTAGATTGTATGTTTACAGAGGCAACATAGACTATTGGACATACTGTTAGGGCCTGTTGATTTTCAGATGGTACCTTTATCAACACTGATCTCTGAAAAATGCCAACATCCATTGCTACAATCTAGCATCTATTCAAAAAACTATTAATGAAAAACCCAATGGGTGAATGACCAGAAAACGTGGAGTTAATTTCAGATATGCCACACAAAAAAACCCACAAAAACTTCTTTATCTCACATTTTATTTACTTTGACACTAAATTTAAAAAATAAGTTAATTCACTTAGTATAGTTAATTCGAGTTAGTTTAGTTCAAATAATTTTCCAAGGCTTATCTGAAATGGTGATATTGGTCTCAAAATAACACAGGAATTTCCCACTGTGCTTTGTGATCCATGACACACTGAAAATGTCATGAACATCAATCACAGGAATTTCTGCTTTCTGCCTTAGAGGGCAAAAGTATGAAAGACTAAATTAAGACTAGAGTTGTGTTGAGAATTTTTAAACACAAACAAAAAACAAAAGGCATGTGGGCCTAATTTAGCATCATGACTTGGGAACTTGAACTGTGGCTGTTCCCAAGTTCCATCTACTAGAACTGTGAGAGTATGTAGGGCACGTATGAGCCCATAAGATACTGTGAAACATAAGAAACAAATAGCCTTCTTCATTTTAAACTTAGATTGATGCCCTCGCATCCTGCCACATGAACTATGGGACCAGCGTGGTGGTAGGTGCTCCTCCATCAGCCAAGATGCTCACCTACAACCCTATGCTGCTCTTCACTGGACGCACGTGGAAGGGATGCATTTTTGGAGGTAAGGATGGTGAAGCCTCTAGCTCAGGAGGACTTGAATTCTGTTCCTTGGATAAGTGAGAGAAGCCTATTGTCTCATCAGATCTCCCTTAAAGGTCTTTGTTCCAAGGATGGGTATGAAGTGACCTAACATGAGACTGTGACCACAATGATACAAAACAAGGCCCACTTCTCACCTGATTTAAGGCTAATATTCTTGGGCACATTTTTAATAGTAACATTTTCAAATCAAGTTCCTCAAAGGCCTCAATGAGAGGCACCAGTGATCTTTCTATGGGAATGCTTTATCGGATAGGAAGTGCTGATTATATCCATTATTCTCAATATAGGCAAGAACACGTATAAAAAATAGACTTTGTTCAATCCACAATTGCATCAGCAAAAAACTTCTGAACCCAAAGCCAAAACAAACAAACAAATATGGATTGTTTCATTTTATTGGGACAATTGAGATTCATACCAAAATGACTGACAGAGACAATGATAAATTCTCACTCCTGGTTGTATATAAACTATCAGCAGGATTTTATACAGCTGATGTCTCCCTTTTCCTCAAAATCTCTGTTCACTTGGCTCCTAGATATTATTTTGTTTGTTGTTCTTATTCTGTTTCTTCTCCTCTTAGCTCAGTAGTCACTCCTTCCAGGAATATTTGCTGGAGCCTCCACATCCTCAGATCTCCAACTTTGGTGTCTGTCCTCAGATCCTTTCCTTATTTCCATGTTCTTCCAGGGTAATCCCCTCTGGTCTCATGGCTTTAACTTTATATCTTCAGCCTAGACCCCCAAGTGAGCTACAATTGCCTACCTGATGTATCTACTTTGATATTTGATAGACATGCAAACTTAACCTACCCCAAACCACTCCTGATGCCACCACCTCTGCCCTAACCCCCAACCTACTCCTCCTACAGCCTTCCCATCTCAGTAAAAGATGGCTCCATCATTCCTGTTGATCAGGCCCCAAACCTTGCATTACACTCTTATGGCTCTATCTTCAAAGTATACCCAGGGCCTGACCATTTCTCAACATCACTTGTCCAGGCCACCATCAGCAACTCTCAGCATTGTTAAATGGTCTCCCTGCCCTGGCCCTTGTCCCCTACACAGAACATTCCCATAGAGCAACCAGACTATGACTATATAATAAAGTTGCATCTTACAGGTTATGTCACATAAGATTGCATCCAATTGGTTAATTCTTGGTACCAGGAATGCTTACAAACAACTATAAGCACCTGATTTTTTTTTTTTCCAAAATGTCACTTTGGAGCAAAAGGAGTAGGTAATTACTATTATTATTTTTTGGTAAATTGATCAAAATTATGCTTATTTTTTTTGTCAGATTGGGAAAGAATAGAATGTCTGTTTTGGGGTGCCACAGAATTTTAGTAATTAGTTTACTAAAGTTTCTCGCTCAGAATAAAATCCCCAAACATGCAATGGACAGAAGGTGCCCTGTGATCTGGTCCCCCGTCCCCAGCTGCTACTATTCTGTTCTTACTCTGCTCCAGTCACTGGCCTCCTCACTGTTCTCACTTGCCAACTCTCCTCAACGCTTTTGCACTTACTCTGCCTTCTCCCTGAAATACTCCTTCCCTAGATTCCTGCCCAGCTCATTGCCTTCATGTTTTTGTATGAATGTCACTTAACAGGCAGGCCTTCCCTGAGCTTCATGAAATAGCAGTCCCTCCTGCTCCCACCTTGTCTGTCCCTCTAGCACTGCCTATGGCCCCTTACTCAGTCTTTCTCCTCCTGCTGTCACTGGATGACGCCCTCTGCCTATTTATGGTCAGTCTCTCGGCAGTAAAATGAGAGGCTTCCCATGCTTCTTGGGAGCAGGGACCTCATATGTTTTGCTTTGCTGTAGTCCCTGCCTGGTGCCTGGCACTAGGGTATACCCAACAGATATTTACTGAATAATTGAATTTTACTTCTAATATTCCTGTGTAATCTGTAATCTCACCACTTCGCACAAATGGTCAAAGTCAATATCTCTTAGTGTTTGTTTGTCAGTTCACGTCTGATTTCCCCTAAGAAGCCAGCTCTAAAGTACTGCCTTTATACAAAGCAGCCTCTCATGGTTGTGCCCCAGATGATGCTGTGGAGAGAGAACAAGCTTTCCTCGCATTGAACATTGTGTGTGTCAGGGTGACCTCGACAAGAGCTGAACAGCAGAGAGCTGAGTGGGCTCAAGAGACAGTGACAGGACAGGCAGTGGAACTGGAAACAATGAACTAGAGATACATTTTTCTGTAAAGTAAAAAAAAAAATTCTATAAAAGGAACAGAGATATGGGGCAGCTAGAAGGAGATGTGGGGTCATGAAAGGTTTTTATGCGGGGGGAGGAGTTGGCCTTTGGGAGAATAGCTTATTGGTGTGCAGTTGAGAATACTTCAATATAGGAAAAGGTAAAAATGCAGAAGAGACAAGATACAAATATAATAAAATATAAATATTATTTAGTAGAGTCTAAAGAGAAAATGTGTGCTTATTTACAGGTTGGAAAAGTAGAGATGATGTTCCAAAAATAGTGAATGATTTCCTGGCAAAGAAATTTGACCTGGACCAGTTGATAACCCATGTTTTACCTTTTAAAAAAATCCAAGAAGGATTCGAACTCCTCTATTCAGGGAAAAGGTACTTGTTTTTTTGTTTTTGTTTTGTTTTGTTTTGTTTTATGGTGATCTCATCTCCGCTCCACAGGCCACCTTAACAATTCAATATTTATAAATATACCAGTTTCTTTCATATTTTATTTATGATTTTTTAAGCTAGTAAGAAATGATATGGCGGATTACTTTTTTGTAGACTTTGTACGTCATTTTCCTGCATTAAATTTTTAAAAATCCTCTGGGCTTTTGTTTTTCTACACCAGATTGGTTTCATCTTGGCTATCCTTATTTCATCATAAAAATGCTAGCTTGTTCAAGAAATGCTACATTTTCTTGCTTTACACTTTTCAAAGTGCTTTTTCAAATGTGCTTTCTTCAGATGCTTGCAGGTGAGATATGATAACAATCTTCAGTTGAACAAACTAAGGTTGTGAGACGCAAATAACTTGCCAGACCTTGTAGGGGCAGCACCAGGATGCAAGCTCAATGCAAAGCCTGTGCTCTTTTCACCACGCCCTGGATTCCTCCCACAGAGCTGGCAGGCTCCAGGCACACATGGGTGTTCCTGTTAATCCTCACCCAAGGATGTGTTTTCATAGATTTTTAAAAACATGTTTATTGATTTCAGAGAGGAAGGGAGAGGGAGAGAGATAGAAACATCAATGATGAGAGAGAATCATTGATCAGCTGCCTCCTGAACATGCCCCAATCTGGAGATCAAACCCACAACCGTGTGGTGTACAGGACAACTCTCCAACCAACCGAGACACCCAGCCAGGGCCAACCATGCATGTTCTTGTCACTATTGTTGTTACTTCTGAGGGTTTGGCAAGGTTAGAGGTAGAATAGGAAAAACTCACACAAACGTCACTACAATGTCTGCTCATGGATGCTTGGAACAGCAATCAGGGAGCCTGTCTACTAGATGAAATGACATTTCACTCACTGGGTCTCTACATACTTATTGAACATCCACTGTGTTCCAAGGTCTTGGGTTTCATTAGCAAAAGAAACTAACTGTACGTTAACCTGAGATCCAAATTCTCACTTAAGTTTTCCCTTGAGTGCGTTTCCAATGTTGTCTGGTGTCTCTACATCTGGTCTAGACCACCAGGTCATTGTATTATGAACATACATTCAAACTGCTTTTAAGCAAGGAAACAATGGGCTAAATGGTCAGAACAACCTTCACTCAGTTAAGCAAAACAAGTAGCTTAATATGGCCATTTTGAAACATAAATTCTGCTCTCAGGAATTTTGCTTCCAGTATCCCAAGTTGAGCTTTCTAAACCCAAGCTCTTCATTTCCATCTACGTCCTGCATGGTCGTACTTGTGTCCCACTTGCATTAACTTCACCCCAGATAATTCTTCCACCAGTACCTCTCACCTCAGCAAGCAGCGCCCCCTTTCTGCTTTTACAGACTAGCAGCGGAGCATCACCTTTGACTTCCTCACTGTTGTCCACCACATGCAAACAGATGCTGGGCCCGGCCGATGCAACCCCAGGGTCTCCTCCAGCTCGCCTCCCTCTCGTCGTCCAGAGCATTACCTAGTTCAGTCCAGCCATCTCTCCCCTGGGCGTGTTAACACAGTAGCATGGAAATAGGTCTCCTGCCTTCCTGTATTTTCCCATGGTGGTCAGGCCCTCACTACGCTGCTAAAACTCAAGTTGCCCAAAATGGCAATGCCTTTGCATGGTTTTGAAAGCATTTACTGTTCATTTACTAATGTATGCGGTCATTCCACAGCTAAGGACTTAGCACCTGCTCTACCTTCAGGGCCAGGCTGTGGGGATAAAGTGAGGGAGTAGGTCTCACCTACTGCCACAGTCTCCAGGCTTCCAGAAGTCTAAGCACCACACATCCCCTTTCATAGGCTTCTTCATGCCTCCTCTTCAGCCAGAAAGCCCCTTTCCCTGTCAGCCTGCTGCAGATGTGCTTATCAGAGGCTTGGGAGAAGGAAAATTCGCTGGTGTGGACCTCAAGCGTGGAAGGATTTCCAACAACAGAGTTTACCTAAGTTTCCTATAACAGATAGGAAGGGTAATTGCTTAAACTGTTCTTGTTTGGAAGGTATGGCCACAAATCACTAAAGATGGTCATTTTACATTTCAGCATCCGAACTATTCTGACGTTCTAAGTGGCGGGAGCCTGTGCTGTGTGATGGAGACCTGGCTTCCCTTCTACTCTCCCCTCTGTGAGTCGTGGACACGCAGCTGAGGACTTGGTGAAGACACACAATCCCCATGAAATACATATTTAAAGTCTGATTGGCACCTGGGAATTAGTAGGGGGCTTGGGTCAACAATATTAACATTTAATCTTTACATTTTCCAAGGCTGTAATGATATATTTTGAAAAAGCATGCTTGCATTTTTAAATTGGAATACAAAGTTTTAAGAAAGGGTTTTAACCAACTGCCACCACTTAGAGCAGATTTAGCATGGAAAGATGACATATGTATTTCCTAAAGTAATACTCATTTTGTGGATTTTTTTTAACATATTACAAACATTCCTTTTTTGATTTCAATGTAAATTTTAAAAATTGTTATGAATTAACTTGAATTTGGTTTTAAAGTCAATTCTTTGCTTAGCACAGTTGATTAGATTAGGAAAGAACTAGGGAAGTTCTTTAATGATTAACTTTATGAATCATCATTATATAACTAGGTGAATCTGAGAAATCATACTACCAGTACACATGAAACTATTTGCCAGCCTATATAAATATTTCAGAATTCATACCTTTCATAATGCTACTTAAATATCAAAATGCTGATAGAATCAAATTGTAATATATATTTTAATGTTTGGTTCAATAAAGTGGAATTATAAATCCTTTAATATCTGTTTACTTAGCAATGACCCCTTTTAACAAAAAAATATTTTTGGTTTGGTACAACTACACTGGCAATTCTATCTATATATGACATTAAAAATTCCTCAAATTTAAGTATTTTACAAAATCTTTTGTGGCAATATATTTTGTTTAAAGAGGACGGTTTCATTAATTATTGAACTCTTAGTGGCTATAGATAAAGTATTAAAGCAATTGAAAACTCACCCCAGGGCCGCTTTTGCCCTGCCCCCCAGCCATGATCTGAGAATCAGGCGCCTTTGCCGCCCTGGCCATTGATAGCAGGAAGTAGGGGTGGAGCCAGCGATGGGAGCTGGGCAAGGTCAAAGCTGGCAGTTCCAGGAGCTAGGGGTCCCTTGCCTGGGCCTAAAGCCTCAGTTCCTGCCTTCTCCTCCCGCACAGCTGGCCCCCC